CAAAGGAAAGGGACCATTTTCCATTCCTTCAGACTCAAATCCTGGAGGGTATCCTAACCAGCTATGAAGAAATCTATGGAGAAAGGACAAGTGACCTTGGATGGCTGCCACTTGCCCACCAAACTTCTCTCACTCCCCCTCCTCAACTGGACAGGAGGAAAAAATACAACTGAAGAGCTCACATAAAGCCTGGGACTTCCCTCTGCAGCTGCCACCATGGGCAAACCGACTCGACTTTGGGACAATTGCTTTGCCTTCTCAGCAATTCCCAGTACAGCAGCAAGCCGGGTAACAAAGACAAAACTGAAACCACCTCACTCCCACTCTCCCCTCTCCTGGCTGTGAACACACCTGGTGCAGGTGCCTGGGGCAGTTGCAGTGCCTGATGCAAGCCGAGCTCCAGGTGGGAGCCCCAGACAAGAGCTCGTGAATGGCCAACAGAGCCCAACAAAGGGCAGCAAGAGTGGTGGCACTTCTGGGGAAGGGACACCAAGAGACCCAGCAGGAGCTGAGGGCCCGGGAGGAAGAGCCAGACTCGAACCTTGGGCATGCAGACTGTGAGGGGATAAAACTGAGGGGCTCCCTTGCTGGGGGAACAGCTCAGGCTGTTCCTGTGTCACTGCACTGGGAATAAATGGCTTTATGGAATCAAACAGCTGAGACTGCTCTGGGAAACCTGGGCTGGAACCAGGGAGGACACAGGGGCAGGGTGTGGGGAGTCCAGCAGGGCCCATTGGGGCACTGCAGCCACTGCTGTGGAGGGGCTCCTCCCAACACTGAACACCTCTGGTGGCTGGAGTGTGACAGCCAGAGAGCCTTGGGAAGGGTCAGACTGGGAAGTTTCCCAAATATCCTCTTCTGTAAGCTGGCTGCAGAAAGCAGGGTCCTGCTGACCCTTCCAACAAAGCCACCTGTCCCTCCTGAGCACATCCATCAGAGCAGCAGGGATGAGGTGAAGGCAGAAACAGGGACTGCTCAGGAGTGAGGAAAGGCCTGCTCAGGGCACCTCTCCCTCTTTCTTGCACTCCGTTTCCCTGGGCTGTCTGCTCCTTGTGACTTTCTGTTTTCTTTGGCCGTGTTCCAGAGAAGGAGGAGGACCTGGACTGAATTAAGGAGCCCCTTGCCAAAGCTGCTGCATGTCAAGAAAGCTTTCCTGGTGTTCAAGGGGAGGATAGACCTGGGTGAGGAAAAGAGCTCCACTGAGGATTAGAAATAGAGAAATGCCAGCAGGAACCCAAGAGAAGTCACAGCCCCAGGGTGCCTGTGGCTGTCCCACAGGTCGATCTGAAAGCATCAGACAGGAAATGCAAGGGGTGCTTTCCCAGGATTGAACCCTGCTCCATCTCCTCCTTTTTGCTCTGGTCTGAAAGGAGGGAAAGCATAGAAATGGCATAAAATGCTCAGAGTTTGAGGGGTTTTCTCCTGAAAGCAGAGTAATAGCAAGATGGCTTCTGAAACAGTAACACTGAGGAGATGATGTGCACATGGAGCTGTCCTGTCATTGATAACTGATGAACACAGACATTAGCTCAGACCACCTCTCATGGAAAGATGGTTGTGCTTCCAGGAATGGGTCACCCCACTTCTCACAGTCAGAGACAATTTGTTCTCTCTGTCTCTGTCTCATATTTAGAATGAGCCCTGAGAACTGCTTTAGACAGAAAAAATATTTTATACAGGGCCATAGCTGCAATCCTGAGCTAAAGTTGGAGCTTGGAGGGGGAAAAATTAAGGGGGAAAGACAGGAGAGGGGAGGAGAAGGAAAAACAAAATGAAGGGGAGGGAGAGAGGAGAAAGAAAAAGTATGGCCAGAAAAAAAAAAAAAAAGAGAAAAGGAAGAAACTTTCACTTCTGCATTGCCAGTGATGGCTCTGTCACCCAGAGACCAACAGAGTCTGGTCTGCCAACAGAGGCCCAATAAATTAGACTTTTTGAATTATGCATTGAATCAAATACAACATTAGTACCAGTATTTGAGCTAAAGCCTGGAGGATTGTACAAGTGGTGGTGAAATCTCATTATGCGTTGTCTGGGGTGCTAAGGTGAGCTACTGTTTTCATTTTTATAATTTGTAGTATTAAGTTATACTCACTCCATGAAATAATTATTCATTATATATTCAGACTAAAAATTTTTCTAATCAGCCAAGATGAAAGAAACAAACAAATCTTCCATAATGTATTCATGGCATTCAGGCTGTGCCTAATCAATATGCTACTTACTTTTTACTTTTCTCCCATTTAATGTGTAGCAAAAGTCACAGCAACAATTTTTGGTGTCAGACAAAATAACTATTAAATAAATAAGTAAGGCCTGAATTGATGATTTTTTCTCTTTGTCTGTAGACAGTGGGTGGGAAGGGACAATGGACTTTGAATGGGAGTTCTATGAAATATTAACTTTGTGGTCTCCCTCCAACCCTTCCTGACTTCCCCCACTCTCTGCAGCACAGCAGGGCCTTGATGAGACAAAGACACTGAAAGCCCTGGGGGCCCTGGAGGGCAGCAGGGCTCCTTCAGGCCTCAGCAAAGCCCAGTGAAGGCCCCAAGATGGTCCAGGGAGCTTTTCACACTCAATCCCCTGTGGCAGAACTGGACTCAGCACTTGAGGGCCCTCAGCAGTGCCCAGCCCAGGGATGGTCACTGCCCGGGAAGCCTTGAGAGGAGGGGGTGGCACTGCTGTGCATGGCCAACAGTGATTGCACTGGCCTTGCCCACAGGGGCGGCTGCAGATTGCTGATTGCTCTGCTGCAGACAGCTCTGTTTGGGCAGGGTCACACTTTTGTTGTTGGCTTTGTTGCTGCAGACGCCGATATTCTTAAGGAAATCCCACCAGGACTGAAGGACAGCTGGAGGAGGATTGCCACCCCAGTGACCCCAGGGCAGTGGTTCCTGAGTGCCACAGGCCCCTGTGGCTGGGCAGGTGTGGTGTGAATGTGCTGGGCCGGGGGGTCAGCCCTTCCCCTGGCTGGGCTCCTGCTCACACAGCCGCGGGTGCTGCTGCCTTGCTTGGCTGCTGGCCCGTGTGCTCAACTTCCCAGTGCTGCCTTTTCACCCTGGAGCTCGCTCAGTTCAGCCGAGAGCCTCAGGAGAGGCGTGCTTTACTCCTGGCTCTTGGAGAGACCATTCCTGCCCCCTCTCAGATTTCCTGACAGGCATTTACGGGAAATCAGCGTCAAACCGAGAAAGGAGCCGCTGGGGGAGAGGGAGGAGCCCGTGGGGCGGGAAACCTCTGGAGCTGCTGCCCCGGCCACCACCTGGTTCAGCCCATCAAAGCCGCCTCCTCTGGAGCTCTGTGCTCTGGTGCCGGCCTCAGTTCCTGCCCCTCGGTGCCTGGACCCCGCTATTTCCCGGCTGTGACAGCCCAGGCTGGCACTGAGGAGCTCATCCCTGGCCAGCCCTTCCCTGTGGGGCAGGAGCAGCTCCCCGTGAGCACCCCACATTCACCCGCCACGCAGCTCTGCTGAGCCATCGCTCCCGGATCCCCGCGCTGCTGGAGCCCTTTGCTTTGCCTGGCCATGGATGCCAGGGCAGCTGCCATTCCCATGGGAACCTGCTCACTGGCCTGAGACCCTCCAGGCTGCCCCCAGAGCTCTTCCGCCCACTCTCCCTGATGATCAGGGGGTTTCTGAGCTGCCAAGGCAGCGTCCCCCCTTTCTAACCCTCCACTGCTCACTCACACAATTCAGCCTCTGCCCATCCTGTCGAGGCTCTCCAGGTATCCCAACTGCCCTTCACACCTCCCATCCTCATCCTCCCTGACCCTCCTCTGGCAGAGCCTCTCCAGTTCCACTGCATTCCACCAGCACTCAGGCACAGCCTTCCAAACCACCTAGGGATGGGTTTGGCTCCGAAAAATAGATGTAGGCAGCTTCTGAGATCAAAACAAGGAATTTTGGGTTCTCAGGGGTTCAGAAACTCCCATTAAGGAGCATTTGGGCTAAGAAACTGCAAGTTTGGGATCCCTGGGACTCAGTGATTTAGAGAGCTTTGGAGTCCCAAACACTGATTTAGAGAGATTTTGGGCTCTGAACAAACCCAAACTTCAGGCAGCACTGGGGTTGAGAAACACCAATTTAGGGACTTGCTGGCCTACAAAATCCTGATTTGGGGAGTTCAAGCCTGAGAAAAAAACACATCGGGAGATCTGGAAATCAGGGAGATTGATTTGGGGATATTTTCAGATCAGCAAGAACAATTTAGAGAGCTTTTGGGCTCTAAAGAACCAATTTAAACCGATTTTGGGCTCTGTAGTCCCCATTTAGGAAGCTTTGGAGCTCCAAAGCAGCGACTTCAGGAACTTTTGGGCTGAGAAGCATCAATTTCAGGAGCAGAAGGAGAAGCCCTGGGTGTCGGATTTTCGGCTGTTTAGATGGTCTGGGAAGGCCCGAGGTGGCCTTGGGCCGCCCGCGCTCCAAAGGATGAGAAGGGACTTCAGATCTTTTCTCGGTCTCAGTGTTTATTAAATGCTTATCTAAAAGATTTTCTCTGGGCCTGACAGAGTTCTGCTCAGCAGTCAGCCATGGGCACACACTGAGAGCCCCTGGGGCGGTCACTTATCTTTATACTTGGAGTTACGTATACAATATTTATCATTTTTCTCCAATACCTTTCACCCTTATTAACCAGTACACTTTTAGTAAGGTCCAATCCCAAAGTGCCAGCATCACCACAGAAGATGGAGGCCAAGAAGAAGAAGAAGAAGGAGAAGGGCACGCCCCAATTCCTCCATCTTACTTCTCTAGACCCCCCTGTACAGAAATCTTAAACCCTGTATCTCACACTCCAATTAACTTATCCCTTCACCATTCACCCCAGTGAAATCCTCCTATCCTCATACTGATGTCATCTCCCATGTGGGATCAAAGTCCAGCCACCAGACATTTCTGGCAGCATTCCAGGACTCCCGAGCCCCCCAGGGGTGGTCTTGGTCACCCTGCACCCCAGTCCTGAGAGCTGAGATCCCACACCTGGGGAAACACGGGAGGGGCTGGCACCTACCTGGGACAAGGCCGGGCAGAAGCAGCTCCGTGCTGGGGTGTGAGTACCGGGGGCTCCTCATCCCGGTTATATCTCACCCTGCCTACCCCCGTTCCCACCCCCACGGGCTCCTCCCTCTCCCCCCACAGTTCCTTTCTCGGTTTTACACTAATTTCTTGTAAATCAGTTCTCAGCCTGGAAAGGGAAAGTGAAAATGCCCCGATCGGGGGCGGCTCCTTGGCTGGGGTGGGAAATGTGCGCAGCCAGCGGCCCCTCCGTGCTCCTGGAGCCTCCGAGGGCACCGGGAATGCCCCGGGAGGGCACCGGGAGCGCTGGGATGAACCCCAGGGGCTGATGGCAGACAGGGCACAGGGCTTGAGTTAGTGGCGTCAGAGCTCTGGAACACTGATTTTGGGAACTTTGTGGCTTAGAAATCTAATCTATTTCAGCAGCTTCGGGGCCATAACGGCGATTTCAGGAGCTTTGGAACCGAGAAAATGCAATTTTGGGGGCTTTGGGGCTCCAAAACACCGATTTTGGGAGGTTTCTAGCTCTGGAAAAATAAAAATTTAAAAAATAGGGAGCATCAAGTCTCAAAGAAAGCAATTTAGGGATATTTTGAGCTCAGAAACAACAATTTAGACAGATTTTGGGCTTAGAAACACCCATTTAAGGATATTTTGGTGTTTGAAACACCTATTTAGGGAGCTGAGAAACACTCATTAAGGGAGGATTTGAGCTCACAAATATCAAATTAAAGAGTTTTTGATCTCCCAAAACAAAAACCTATTTAGGGCATTTCTCACAGGGAGTGTTTTGCTCACGAGGGCTGGAATACAAGTATGGGGAGGTCTGGCAGACTGACTATATGCCAAACCCACCCCGGCAAGTGCCACGTGCCTGTGGTGGTGAGAACAACCACTGGATGACTGCGGACAGACCCTGTGTCCAATGTCACTGCCTGGGACACTGTCCTGGGATTCGAAACGAGTGCTATGGGCACACCGTGCCCCATGAAAGAATTTAATGAGACAATGGTACTCACTGCCAAAACAACCTTACAGACACCTGGCCAAGAAGGCGGCACTGAGTAGATTTATGACATCCACTGTGATGGACCAGCCTCTGGAATGATGGAGTAGGCTGGTGACGATGACAGCGAGCAATGGGTCCTTTCGGGACTACAGCGCCCATCATGCACCGCGGCACCCACTGAGCGCCATTGCAGCCGAGACTTCATCTCCCGTGACGCTCTGCGCACCGTAGAGCGTCTTTATAGCCGGGCCACCCTCTCCAACATGCCCCGCGACCCCAGAGCTCCAGCATAACCCAGTTCCACCCCTACTAGTCCCGTCATGTTCTGTGCCCCAAGGGGACCCATAATGGCTCCCCATATGCCCCCCAAGGGCTTTCCAGCACCAGAGAATCCCTGCAAGTGTCACCTTCTCCTTCTTCTTTATGGGGTCCATCTCAAAACAGCGCCAGATCCGCAGTGTTTCATCAGCAGCTGCTGAGGCCACTGCTGTACCATCAGGGCTCATGGTCAGGTTCAAGATTCTATCAGTATGACCTGAGGAGGAGAAGGAATGTGCAATCAGGGCTGAGCTGATCAGCACATGCACATTTACTCCTGTATGTTCCCATGAGCCCTGCCAGCTTGCATAGCTGTCTCCCCACTGGCTGTGGCAGCATGATTTCAGACCCCAAGCATACACTTGGATCAATGGTATCTCTTCCACAGCCCCGTGGGCATGCCTTACTCCTAGCAGCATGGCCCCGGATACTGTCCTGTATCAGTGATGTTGCAGGCTCAAACCAAGGAGTGCAGCTGTCTTCAACCTCTAACAGCCCCCCCCCCCCACCCAGGCCCTGTCCACCTACCTTGCAGCTCTGCAACCTTGGTCATTGTTGGATACTTCCATATAACCAGCTGGTTCTGTGCAAAGCCATGGCCTGAAATGAACTCCTTGTAGTTTGTTGACCATAGGATAGAAGAGACCTGCAAAGAGGCAGTAACACAGGTGAGACAAGGTGCATGTGCTGATGCTCACCACTCGGAGGCGAGCATGGTCCCCCTCCTTCCCTGTGCCTCTGGGCCTGAGGAGCCAGCAGCTCTGTGTAGGTGTGCTGCCAGAAGGTGTTTGTCTCCAAGCTGATGTTCATCTCTCACCTGGGAACGGGTATCAACAGCACTGAGGCAGGCGCCAGAACACACGTTCCAGATGCGGATATGTCTGTCACTAGCGCCACCTCCAGTGGCTAGAACATTCATCTGCCATGGGCACCACACCATAGCCTGAGAGAGGAGAGTTCATTTTAAAACATACAAGAGGCAACCTGCACCCAGCCAGGGCTGCATGCCTGCCTTGCACACACATATCCGCCCTCTGGCAGCTCTGTGCTCACCTTGACAGCACCCTGGTGCTGAGTGAAGGTCTGTACAGGAGAAAAGTCGCCATCCCCACCTTGGGTGCATGGCCAGACGTTCGCCAGACTGTCATTGCCACCACTGGCCAGGTAGCGGCCATCCAGAGACCATTTGAGTCCGCACACCTCGTGTGTGTGGCCAGCAAGGGTGGCCACGTGATGCTCAGCCACTCGGACATCGTGGTGATGGATGTGCCCAGTCCGTGCACCACTGCAGAGAGAAGAGAAGGCTTGCAGGGTCAGGCTGCACATTTTCACCCAAATCCATTTTTGTTGTTGCAAGACTGCTATACCTGCCACTGGGTTTCAACCAGTGTTACCAGCAACACAGGTCTGTTGGTGTGAGTGAAACACCCACACAAGCTCTTTACAACTTCAGCACAAATTGCAATACAGGAAAGAGGCCTTCTCCTCACAGCCCCAACAGATAAGGCTGAGTAAGAATCCCAAGCCAGGACAAACTTCTCTCTGCCATCCCTAACCCATGCCACACATAGATTGAGGGATAGAAGTTTGCAACAGCTGGAAACTGCCCTTGACCCACTGCTTTACCTGGAGAGGATGTAGCTGTTCCAGCTGAGGGTTCCCACACGGACACAATGGCTGGTAATGGTTCGGAAACGTTTCTGCTGCTCAACGTCCCATAGCTGGAGAGGCAAAGCAAAAAGTTCTTCAGAAGAAACCCAATCCTGTTTCTATGCCCTAGGAACCTCACTGCACAGGCTCTGGCATTCAGCTTTCTCAGTAAGGGAACAGAGAAAGTGTGTCTCTCATGACTATAGCACAGAAGGTAACGCTACTTATCAGAAAACCCCCAACCCAAACCCTGCCTTGCACACTGGGCAGTTCCACCCCACACCAGGGAAGACAAGTCAGGTGCATGGCATCCTTCCTCTGTCAGCCAAGGTTTTGTCCCCAGTTCTGTCAATCCCTACAAAACACCTCTAGTTTTACTCCTGCATTCACCTGAACCTCAGCACTACTTGTGCCAACAGCAAGGTAGTCTCCATCTTTAATCCATGACACAGAGGAAATGTAAACATCTGGATGCTCCATCTGCAGCAGGGGGATAATCTCCCTAGTAGCGTGATTCCACAGATAAACAGTGTTGTCCAGAGCCACTGCCAGGAAGTTCTGGGAGCTCCAGTCTATGAGATTCAGATCTACAATTTGAAAGAGCAATGCAGGTCACACCATGCTTGGCTAGAGAGCCCTGCCCTTCACCGGTGCTGCTGCAGCAGGTGTGGGTGCACATGTGCACATACACACGTACGGGCGAGGGGCAGCCTTCTGAGTGTCACTGTGCCCAGCTGCTGGGGCCAGGTACCCTGCTCCAAGGCATCTGCACAGTGCCCTAGACCACTGTCCCTGTAAGGCCACACAGGGACACTCCAGAAGTGGTCTGTGCTAGCCTGGGTACACAAAATAATACAGACAGCCCAGTTACACTGTCCTAGGAACAGCAATCCAGTGCAGAATGTTCTGGATGCCCAGCACTCAACCCTGTAGCCTACTTGCAGTAGTTGTCGCAGATCTCTGGTGCATCCAAGACCTGGTCTGACTTTGAGGGAATATATCTGCTCTTCTTCCTGCTGAATCCATTTTCTGACTGTAGAGCACTTTCAGGTTATTCTGATAGCCTGTGTGCAGGGGAACAGGTTTGTTACCCTGAGTTGGTTTCCTCCCAGCTGAGTGCTGCTCACCCAACTAAGAATCCCTTGGAGTGAAAAGAAAGTCCTAAGAGAAACACTCACAAGCCTGCAGTGCACTAAAATCACTGGCAGTATGAACTGCTGAACAGGGATGAGCTACAATTTCCTCATTCATGGAAAAAAATTTAACAAACACTTGGGTTTTTAATCCCATTATATTTAGTTGCAGTTTAAGCTAGAAAGTGCACAGCAGAGAGTTTGATGCTCTTACAGACTTCATGAAGGTTTGGAACCTGCAGTACAGGTGACTGTCACCGACATCTATTCATAAAAAGCCTTTCTTTAGGATTTTTCCCCCTTCTGAGAAGCTGGGGCCTAGCAACAAAATGTAAATAATGGTTATCTGCTGCTGTGGAATGCAGCACGTGGATGTGTGATTGGTCTCCTGTGGATGTTTGGATTTACTGACCACTCACGGCAGCGCTGTGTCTCACTCTCTGCTGAGACACAGCCCTTTGTTTATTCATTCTTTTTCTATTCTTAGCTTAGCTAGCTTCTGAGAACTTTCCTTCTATTTCTTTTAGTATAATAATAATGTAATATATATCATAAAATAATAAATCAAGCCTTCTGAACATGAGGTCAAGATTCTCATCTCTCTCTTCACCCTGAAGACCCTTGCAAGCCCTGTAACAGGTGACCAACTGGCAGTCATAACAATTTTGCTAAATAAATTCACTGTAACTGTTATGCCCTCTCTCGACCTCAGGAACTTTAAGAAAGGAGACTCCAGCCTGTACAGCTCTCAGAAACCAGTTGATTTCTCCTGTGACCACACACAGAGCCTCTGTGTTGCTGTTCCCCTGACCTGATCTCTCCTGCTGCTTCAGCCCATACAGACCCTGTATCATACCTTCTGGAGCATTCTGTGGTTTTCCTCTGAGGTGGAGGATCTTTGCCTCTTATACATCAAAACCATTCAGATTCACTTCCCAGGCTTTCT